GTACTACAATTTTATACTTTATGCATATTTTTCACCGTATTGCATACAGTATTTTGCTATGTAGCTGCTGTAACAATCGTTTTATTATTATTATGTAATGTGTATTTATAATTTTTTCGTCGTTTTTGAGTACATTAGATGCAATATTGTACCGAATGCTGAAAATCCCTTGCTGTATCATTAGTACTGTTTTTGGAATAAAGCTATTATTATTATTACATATCTGGCAGTAATTAATTTGTTATTGTAATTATCGTTATATCGCTTTTCAACGGTACCTAGTAAGAAATGTGAGAGAGGACTAACGCCAGTCATATTAACACCACGGTTTCAACATAGATGAAGTATGAAGAATCTTACAAACCATTCCATTTTGAGACTGAGGAAGCGGCCCAGGCAAGTGGTAGGATCAACCACACATAACGTTATGAAAAAACAGAAACTGTTATCTGATCATCGCGCGAACTTTGAAAAGGGAGTTAATTTTCGCGCTCTTGTTTATAATTGGATTTTGTTGTGTTATACGCTTCAAAAGTCCACAGATTTAACTTTAAATCAGTTTATTCTGATCGAAGTTAGTTTACGTTTCAGATTTGAGTCTATTAATTATAGGAAGTTGTGTTCTTATAACATAATAGCTACATATATCTATCTTTGTGCACTCATTAGCTTTTATCACTGATTTACAAAGGTTATATATATATTTGAAGTTGTATTTAACTTTTCCTGGTTTGTTTTAAATAAAATGCCTATCAAAAGAAACCGCTGCGGAAGGGCTATGTGCCAGTTTCCAGTGGATGAGGGAATGCAGTGTGATAACTGCAAGAGATGGTTTCACAGTATGTGCACGAACCTTACTCCAGCAGCATACAAACGCTGCTGCAAACCTCTAGCGAACTGGTTGTGCAACGACTGCTGTAGTACAACTAAACTCCGTATTACAGAAGCCATAGCTACTCTTAGTGGGGCTTTAAAGCTCATGGACTGCAAGCGTCCTCCACCACAGAAGAATACCGACTATTGCTCAGATAGCGATGACGTGACTAGCGTCATTGACAAAACAGCACATGTCCCAGATGCGACCTTGCCAATAAGTGAGTGCTCTACAGCACAGAAGAACACCCACCATATTACAGACACCCAGGTCGCCCCCACGATACTGGATGAGCCCTCCAGTGACAGTAATGGAAAGACTGCCGTGAAGAAGAGGCGTACCAGGGGTCGAAAACCTGCAGCTCCAGTCGCCCAGGGACTGGCGGAACAAGCCTCATCCACACCGGTGAGCAGCAGACAGACGAACCCCACTAAGATTAGCGAGGAGGACGCCAATGAATGGCGCACCGTAGTCTCTCGCAAAAAGCGAGATAAGGATAACACTTCGGCCACACCGCCCAAGAAGGATAGAAACACACTTACGCCTCAGGGCAAGAAAGTCACGGAAAGCAAACCCGATCTCTCTGACAGGTCTCTCATTCTCCACAAAGTGGAGGAGTCACTGGCCCTCGACCCTAAGACCAGATTCGAGCATGACCTTAACTTGGTCAAGCCCCTTTTAGACAAGCTACTGCCACAAACAGTATCAGGCATTACTATACACAGCGTATACAGAATAGGTCAAAAGCCTGACCCTACAGTAAGTGAACCTGTACGTCTCCTCAAAGTCGTACTAAACTCTAAAGCAGAGAGGGATGCTATTCTAAGCAACTCTCATATTCTCAAAGGATCAGGGATATATGTCCGCGCTGACTTAAGCCTAGCAGACCGTGTCAAAAGACAGGCTGCGGCACTAGAATTAAGTGAGCGACGCCGGAACGGTGAGAAGAACCTTAAGATTAAGGGTTTTCGGGTTGTCCGAGTTCGCAGTTTAATGATCCCGAAACCTCTGTGGGTGGGCCGGGGAAGCACCAATCTGAATTAACAGTCTGCTACACAAACGCCCGCAGCCTGTTAAATAAAAGGACTGAGCTGGCAAACATGATAGAAACCGGAAACCCGGATGTAATTATTATCACAGAGACATGGCTCACACCCGATGTCACTGACAACGAAGTTAACCTGCCAAACTTCGAAGTGCACAGGGTAGACCGACTAAACCGCAAAGGAGGGGGCGTAGTCATCTACCTCAAGAAAGGCTTAACCGTGCGTAGTATCGAAGCACTCGCCCACGAAAGTGAGTCGTGCGAACTTCTACGCTGCAGACTTAAATGCATAGGCCAAGACATTGACCTCATTGCTGTGTACCGCAGTCCTGACTGCAGTGCAGACGACTTCCTAATAGAGAAGCTAGGCTCCTGGACTTCAAAATGTCGAAGTCTCGTAGTCGGTGACTTCAACGCCCCAACAGTTGACTGGTCGAGCCTAACAACTCCATCTTCAGTCAACTCCTTTGATCATAAACTGCTAGAATCTAGTATATCGCTAGCCCTAGTCCAACATATCATTAAGCCCACGCGCTATGACTCACAGCACTCCTCGTCAACTCTGGACCTAGTGTTCTCACACGGTGAGGATGTGGATCTCATACAACATCTTCCTCCGTTAGGAAGAAGTGACCATGCTGTGCTCACTTTCAAGTTCACAGCAACGGCAGCAAGGGCCAAAACCCCAGCTCGACCAAACGTTTGGAAAGCTGACATAAATGCGATCGTCTCAGCAGCCAACTCAGTAAACTGGTACATCAATCCAGAGTCCCAAGTAGAAGCCGCATGGAACCAATTTAAGCAACTTTACGCCCAAGTAACTGTACCCTTCATCCCTTGGTCTGTTCCAAAGGGTCGGAAACATTCCCCCCTTGGATAAACCGGGAGATTCGTAAGTTACTCAGACGTAAACGCAAATGTTGGAACCTGTTTGCAACACTTGAGACTTCTGAGACCAGGGAATTATATACTACTGCTAGAAATAAAGCTATCGCAGAAATCCGCCAATCAAGGATGAAGTTCGAGACACACCTGGCCCAAAATGCAAAGGCACAACCTAAGAAAATTTTCTCGTACTTGAATTTCAGGAATAAAACACCCAATGGTGTCCCAAACCTGATTATTGACAAAGATACAATCGAAGAAGATCAAGAAAAAGCAGAAGCAATGGCAAACTACTTCTCCCAAGTCTTCACTCAGGAGTCATCACTGCCTATAGGATCAGCTCTGGCTGCATCAGAAGAACATGGGATAGATTCCGTTGACATCGACCAAGGCATCGTGCTCAACTTCTTAATGAAACTAGATGCAGGAAAATCAATGGGTCCTGACAGTCTTCATCCAAGGCTTCTCAAGGAGCTATCAGCCCACATAGCCGGCCCCTTGACCACGATCTTCAAGCTATCTCTCCTAAATGGAGTGTTGCCACGTGATTGGAAAGACGCCATAGTAACCCCCATACACAAAGGAGGATCAAGACAAAGCCCTTCAAATTACAGGCCTATCAGTCTCACCAGCACTTTAATCAAGACACTGGAAAGAATTATCAAGAAAAGCATCATGGCTTATCTGGAAAATAGCAGCTTGTTATCTGGAGCACAGCATGGCTTCCGGAGGAACCTCTCATGCCTGTCAAATCTCCTGACTGCAAGAGAAAGCTGGGTCAAATCAAAGGACGACAGAAGACCCGTTGACGTCGTCTTCATAGACTTCAGTAAAGCCTTTGATAAAGTACCTCACAAAAGACTACTCATGAAATTGGAAAGTCTTGGTATCAAAGGCAGACTACTAGACTGGCTCAGGGAATTCCTCATAGATAGGAGGCAGAGGGTTAGGATCAACTCAAAACTCTCCTCCTGGACAGCAGTAAGTAGCGGAGTGCCACAAGGCACGGTTCTCGGTCCTCTCCTTTTTATTCTGTATATCAATGAGTTACCTCTGCTCACCGACTCCCCTATGGTCCTATACGCAGATGACTTAAAAATTTGGAGAGAGCTGAAGGGCAACAGTGATACGTTCACCTTGCAAGAGGACCTCAACAAATTGTCGGAGTGGTCTGTTGAATGGATGCTCCCGATCAATGTGGCAAAATGTGCAACCATGCGCATTGGACAAGCAAGCACGAGCTCCTACGAACTAGAGGGAATAACACTTCCATCAGTTCAGACTCACTTGGACTTAGGTGTCATAGTTAGCCACGACTTAAAAACTACAGCACACTGTCGCGCGGTGGCTGCACGTAGTTTCAGGTCCTTATGGGCGATTCGCAGAGCCTTTACAAGAATTACCAGAGATATGTTCACCTCCTTATACACATCTCTGGTTAGGTCAAGACTGGAAAACTGCATCCAGGCCGCCAGTCCGTGTCTAAAAGGGGATTCACACATTCTAGAAAGTGTTCAAAGGAAGGCAACACGTATGGTTCACGGCATAGCTAACTTATCATACGAGGAAAGACTAGATAGTTTAAATCTCTTCTCACTGTCATACCGTAGGCAGAGAGGAGATTTAATCACAATGTTTAAAATTTTAAATAATGACTACGGACCTGACCTATTCTCTCTTTTCCTTCCCACCAGGTCGGAACACCTTAGAGGACATAGCAGGAAAGTTCAAAAGCCAAGGAGAAATCATATTGCTGTTGAGTACTGGTTCTCACATCGAGTCATAAACTCTTGGAACCGACTCCCAGAAGAAGTGGTGTCTGCAACCTCAACTGATTCGTTCAAGAAGGGTTTGGACAACCACAGAAATCTACTAGAAAAGGATTAACATAGGCTGCAAGCCTTCTATCCTCAACCAATAAATCTGAAATCTAAATCTGAATCATGGCGATAACTTAGGGAGTTAATTTAGTTTGTCCTTATCAGTAGAAAGAACACTGGAATTTTTGTCGGAAAGTAACCAAATTACAGTAGGATTGACAGAGAAGTGAGATTTATCTTCACCGTTACTGCAATTTGGGGAAAATAAGAGCTGTAAATTGTCAACATAGTCCTTAAATTCCATTCGCCTGATTGGTGTTAATTAGTTAGGTTTATCACTTTTATTCGCCTCCCGTTTTTAATTTGTTTATACCTTCTTTTCTTTCACAAAATGCGCACTTAGTTCATTGGTGTCATTACTACATGGTAATTTGAAGATACTCAGACTAACACTGGTGATCGGTGTAATTTATCACGCATCAGCCAAACAGCAGAAGTCATAAAGTGTTTCAATGCTAGAATCACTGGCGATTTGTGCTATTTGAGTTAACTAGTATTATGGAGACTTTAGATACTATTTCGTTTAAACTGGCTGAAATAAAGGTTGTTAAATGCCCTTTTGTTGGCAGTTGGTTGAATTATTGTGATGTGTGATCCGGTGCTTTATCGCAGTTGCAAGTAATTTCATACATGATTCATACATGGCACTCAGGTTTTATTTCACTCAAGATCATTCTTGTGTTAATTGGAAGGAGAGCATTAAAAGCATATTGGTTGTCCATAAGTTTTGTGATATAAACGTTATTGAAAGTGTCAAAACGTTTATTAACTACACATTAAAGGTTAGCTTCCTATTTCTAAGTGACTAGTATCTTGTGATAAAAGCCCGTAATTATCTTAATGGCGCTTTGAATGTTTATTTTCGCCTCAACAACCTGAAAAATATCTCCGGGTGCACCACCCCTATATAGGGGTAGTTGGCAAGCTTGCAATAATTCTAAGCTAATTCTACCCAAGCTTATTATAACGCTCAATTAAATCTCACTAATTCTGAGATAATTCTAACATTATATAGTGAGTAAATTCCTAATCTGTTCTGAAATGAAATCTCTGGTGTCACAGACTAGAACTCAGTGCTGGTTCTCAGCGTGACTGGCACTAATTCAGAACTGTGTTTGTTTTCTAGTCATTTTCAGGAGTAGATCAGAACCTTCTGGGTTTGCTCATCAGCGTTTTTCCAGCCCTCGCGGGACATATTAAGCACGGACTAACGTTATTTCAGGACGAAAAGACTCAATTCGGCACAAGAATTGGGTAACCCTGTCGCAAAACCTTGCATCAGATCGCCGCGCCTGGGCAGCGATGATTCGAGACGTTCATGAAGCCGGCTCATCCTCCTGTAGGAGATAGCCGAAGTAAAGTAAGTAAGTAATTCGGCACTCCGCTCTCTTTTAAGCACGACCAGCGTTATTTCAGAAGATAGCGGGTAGATAAAATACTCATCTACTTAAAATGAACCCACTTTGTCCTGAAATAACACCGTTCGTTCTTAAAAAGAGGACTGAACGCTTAACTAATGTGACGAACACTTAAAAATAGAATTTGGAGATGAAATGAAGCTGAAAAAATCACCATTATGTGCTGAACTAAGTGTTCTGAAGTAATGCCACTCAGTGCTGAATCTAGGCTGAGAGGGTCGAAACAAAGCTGATTAGCAAAGCCGGCTGGTTCTGAGATACTGCTGAAAATTCCTAGAAAAAGCTCGGTGTTGAATTAGTGCCATTCATGCTGAAAACCGGTACTGAGTTCTAGTCTGTGAGCATAATCAAGCCATTTCAGAATAACTTCAGAATTCGCTCATTATAGAATGTTAGAGTTAATTAGAAATTAGCGAGATTTAATTCAGCATTATAATAAGCTTGGGGCCATGGTGATGTAATTTAACATCTATTCTGGGTGAATTCTGAACCATGCGTAGATAATATGGTCTATTGCTAAATAGACGGTGTATGTGCTGATTTATATTTTCTGAACGTAAATAATGCAGTCATGCTTGCAGTGGTGAAAAATAGCGAAACTCAACTAATGGAGGTATTGCCAAAAATCTTGGTTCTTTTTGATTTGGTTTTTGATTATAGCTTGAAACCACACAGTATTTCTGGTACAAGTATGGAATTTTCAGAATTTGATATCGGTAGCACAAATTTTTCAGGCCGACCATAGATATCAATTGTGCGCCGGCAGGGAGTCGAACCCCGAACCGTGTGCATGGTCGGCAAGAGTCATAACCGCTGTGCCACAGCTAGACTATAATTTAACTCAGTATCAGAAATGATTTCTGACTAACAGCAGAGGTTCATGATTTTTTAAACACCCGTGGTCAAAACCGTTTAACTTCTACCAGTCTTTCAATACGTAAGCGTCATAATTCACAACAGTATGTGCACATTGAACTTATCGCATCTCAGTATGCTTTACCTTGGGTTCCTAGTTTTCAAAGTCCTTGGAATATTTCCCTTATAGCTTAATGACTTCTTAACTGTTTAGTGTTTGGGTTACTATCGAAGCATAGTTCACTAGATACTAGGATTTTCGAATACATGTGTATATCTTGCTTGGTCATAAATGCTTGTTATTTTAAAGGAAGTCAACACATTTTATCAGAATACTGCATTTGTGTTTTTTGTCTTCGGTTCTGTGTAGAAATGGGACCTAACTATATATCTGGAATCATCTACACTTGACGAACTAAAAGTCGATGAACTGTTCTATCCAATTGTTCAGCACTACGTAAACTTGGGAAAAGGTGAATCCCCATATATTACTGGTGAACGAGATATATACGAATTCCGTAATGATGCAACAGGATGTTCTTTTAAAATCAACCCTAAAAGTTCAATTGGAGTCTTTGACCACACTGTACATAGCAAAATTGATCTAATTGTTTGTCTTGGAGGTGATGGAACTCTTTTACAAATTGCATCAATGTTTCAAGTATGTCATTTAATCATTCATCCAGGATTTCAGATATTCGTAACTCACTTCTGAATTTTCATTTTTGGAATTGCTTTACTCTGTTTGTAAGTTAGATGGATTTTACGCCCACTAATATCAATAACAAAGTTTCAGTACTTTTAAATAGGTATATAAACCTCAAACAAATTTACTTGTCCCTGCAACTCACTGTCCGTTTTGGTTTCCCATATTTTGGTTTCAGTCTTTCTGAAAACATAACTGCAACCCTGCTAATACTTTAGTATAAGTACAGTCATTCTATGTCGAAAACAGACAGACAGACAGACAGTCATTTAATCGATCTCTTAGATTTCATTACATTTATTTTCATGTGTGCTAATATTTGTTCGATGAAGTACATTACAAGTTCTTGAATGTAAGATTTAGGAAATAATCATGTCAAAATATCCAGGTAACGCTATTACCCATCGTCTGAAAATTATAGCCTTCATAATTTATGAGTGTAAGTGTTTGGTAGTATAGTGAGTTGTCCAAAATGTACTGTAACAGTTATTTACTTAAGTTATAAACAAAGCCTCCTAACTTGTATCCCTTTTTGGTGAGACAGTCATGAATAATATTTCGTGTATTTTTGAGATAGTTTTTAAGAAGAAATTCTAGTATATAGGCAAAAGCTTTGGACAGATTGCAGTAATTACACCTTATCTTTCCAGCTGTCTTATGTATGCTGTTCACTACCTTTGAATAAACATACTATTATATCCATATTGGAGAGCATAGTTGCATAGTTTTCGGTTGAAAACATGATGCCGAAATAGGCATAACCTATGCTTTCAGCTTTCATAACCAGTGCAAACAAGTCCTTGCGCGTCAGAGTTTACAAATTCGCCTCACAATCGCTATGATTTGCATCTTTATCATTAGATATCTGTTTTCTCATAAGCGATACTAATACAAAAAAGGAAAGGTATGTGATATCGTATATATACGTTAGTTTCATCTTGAGAACTTTGTCTGTAGCGTAAGTCGTGATTATTGAACAGATAGGAAGATGATCATCTGAAATTAACAGTAATGAAAATGGTTCCGGTAGTTATATGTTATCAAGCTGTCTTTCGAGAGCAGCGTATATTAACAACCATTCTGAGTTACAAAATTTGCTTTTTAGGAGCAGTTGTGCCAGGTTTAACATTTTGGTTTCATTTCTGAATTCACTTTTTACCCGTATTTTATTTTTGTAGGAGGTAACCTGTACAGATAAACTATAAAACAGATACATCTATGTCGTAGACACTAAGTGCTATTAATAAATTGATGACGAGCTCAAACTCAGGGTATAAAGATATACGTAGGAACTCATTGTATGTCAGCTGGATTCCGTGAAAAAAATGAAATGTGCATCATCGGAAAATTCAATGACCCAAAGGTGTCAAATTTATGGAAATCTATCATAATTTGGAAGCCTTTAATAGGCATTATGTCAACTAAGTATTAATTTTATTTGGTTGGCATTATTCATTCGCCGTTTTTCATTTAAAATAATATAAAAATTCTCGAATAAGCGTTGGCAGGGAAACAGTCTAGTGCTAACTGTTGATTGCACGTTTACTATAAACATCTCTAGTATTTGATTCCGTGAGTAATCCAGATAATTCACAGAATAAGTATGCAAACAATATGCGAAATTGTCATGATAAATTGTTGTTCATATTCAGTGTGATTCTGATTTAGTCGAATACGTATGGTGTTCACTTTAGTATTTTTGTTATCTTTTCAATTATTTAGGGGATTGCTCCACCTGTAATTGCGTTTCGTCTCGGAACTTTGGGGTTTTTAACTCCATTTCCTTTTAACAATTTCAGGACACAAATGAAAACTGTTCTTGAAGGTAAGGGGCTGTTTTTATTACTATGGAGAATTGGCTGTCATTAATGTAACAGAATATATTCACTTTATATGGCTCAAGGATATTTTCCCTCAATTTTAGTTTTCAACATCAGTCGGTTTGCCAGAAAATGGATATTTTATTTCGTTTTGGAAATATACACAATGTAGAAACATTTCTACAGTTTATTAGTAAATTGAATTCGTTATAAACTAATTTCATATCTTTGGGTTTATTCTGAATGCATCACTTTTTCGAAAAACATGCAGGTTGTTGTTTTCTATGTCTTAGATATTACCATAACTCTCATACACCATGTTTACCTACACAGTCCTACCCCCTCCATTTAACTGGAAGTCAAGTCAAGCTGTCATTAATAAATATTATTATGGTGGACAGTTTACTTCGCTTTTCCGTAAAGCTGCAGCAGTGAAGGTGACTGATTTCATAGTGAAACACTAACCAGTCGAAAGGAATATGTATTAGTGTACCGTGGCAAAACCTAGGATGATAAAATTAACAGATATTTGTGGAAATCGTTGAATTGAAGTATTTTGACGAATACTCTTTATAGTTTTGAGTATTAAGGCCGTTATACTGAGAATTTTTTTCGTCTGCTTTGAGACAAAAGTAAATGGAGCTAGGGTGAAATTCGTCTTCGGCTTACAGCAAATAAAAACAGAATACTTGATTAACACGAGATGTTATCATTCTTTTAAAAGTGACAACCGTGGAGGAATAAAATATTCCCTAAGTGACGTCGTTATCAACCTCCTTTACTACCACATTAAATTTACAGTCGTTACAATGCATACTTGTGGATACAGGGTAAGAATTGGTTGTAATTCCGTTGTACTTACTGGATGATGGTTGGTTTCAAAGAGGGATATGGCGTTTCAAAACGGCTACGAACACTTCTTAACCTTCAGAATTCAGTATTCATTATTTCCTGGTGTTAGAAGTGGGTTTGTAGGAAACAAGTGTGCGATCAAACAGCTTCTTTGTGACAGATTAGTTCACATAAGGCAAAATACCATGAGAATAATTTTCTGTAACTATTGTTAAAAATTCCCCTTCTTTCCTTTAATCGTGTTTCTATATTTTACAATTCAAAAGTTACAGTCATTTAACCATCGGCAATTTGATTGACTTTTTAGCACCAGTGGTCTTACTGAGTATTTTTAAATTTAATTTGTGTTGTAGCAGGTTTGTATGTATCATATTCATGGAAAATAAATTGGAAAGAGCTGATATGGGTCTTGCTAATATCTAACAGTTTGGTAGGCCATGCGTGAGCTTAACAGCATAAGCTACTGATAGCCAGTAATTTTCAACGTGACGTTTAGTAAGCAAAGTTATGGTCAAGTGAGAAAATTATACTTGCGGTTATCAGTCACCTATATGTATCAGTCCCAAACTTTTACCTGTGTTTATGTTTAACCTTACACAATTAACATATGCGTTAAGCGGGTGAAGTTGATTGCATTGGAACAACTATGTGATCAAAAATTTTTTCCATCATTATTTAATGTAATTGCTAATCGTTATAATGGGCACTGGATAAACTAATGCACCTCCTTATTTTTGAAGTTTTTTTCATTTTTCTTTAAATCGATAAACAGTTATTAGTGTTACTTTTAGCTCCACTAAGGCCTTTTTCTGGGTTAGTTAAACATGGGCATCATTTTTTCATTGGTATATGGTATATGGCTGAAAATATTTGTAGCCCAAGTGAGTGATTTTGATAGTGTTAGTCTCTTTGGATTAGTGATGCCGATTTTGATTTCAGTCAACGTGGTCAGGACAGATCCAAAAAATCGTCATATTAATATTTCTACGCAGTTGGTCAGAGAGTATAGCCTTATGATTTGGAGTCTAATTTTTCAGTTTACCAGCTTTTATAACTAGGTGACGGAGCAATAAACGGAAATATATGTATAGTCAATTTTCCATTGTTAGAGATTTGGAAATATTGACCTTTATATTTCCTTATAATGAGGTATTTCCTTAAGAACTCTGCATACATTTGTGTTTTTCTAGGTTTTTCTTCGCCAAATAAAAAGCTACTTGGCCTGTGTGTGACTTAATGACTAATTAGCAACCCGATAAGGTTTCGAAGGGAAATGGCTGATTTGGTAATTGACTTATTGGCAGTTTAATGGCCAGCTTCTTACTAAGGGCTGGTGCAGAAGGATTTAATAGGATAATTAAGGTACATTAATTTTTTTAGTTAAAACCTGCGATTATGCAGTATTACTGAAATGATAGTTTCTTTTTTTGTCAACAAAAATAAGTTTTATAATTGTTACAAAATTTTGTTTCGTATTTCGTATCATCAAGTGTGTTTATATGGATAATGCAGGTTCGTCTTATTGCGTATTACGAGCTCGACTTTGTTGTCAAGTTATTCGAAATGGTATCAATAACCACAATGACAGTGCGCATCAAGATGTGGAAGGTTATTGTAGTCGAAAACAATCAGAGGAATCCAGTAATTCTGACATTTCTTTACGATCCAGTTCACCAGACACTGAATATCATGTAAGTACTTTACGTGTGCTTTTAATTTATAAGCTGTTAATACTGTCTGAAAAGTATTTGTGTTATACGTTTCGAACAATCTGACCACACACCTGATTGCGAATTCAAATTATGTGAGAAAAAAAAAGAAGAATGGCAACATATATTCCCGAGATCATTTTATAAATCTATGCGATCTTCTAAATTACAGCCGAATCTTCCATACTTTATTCTTACATAATTTCACATAGGCATTTCTAATGCTAAGCGCAAATACTTGAAAATTTTCCCATTAACTCCAACTTTTAATAAAGTTATCCAAGTTTACCAAAGGGATAAACTGTTTTAATTTCTTAGTAGTATTCTTGCAAAACTGCTAACTAGGTTTTACAACTCCATATATCACTTCTTATGTTTTCATCTTTGTATTGTGTTGGAATAGCTTTTTCCGGTGTATCGTACAGGCCTTCAGTAAGCTGCTATCTTTCATGATTATAGCGTTCTTCCATCTCTCCATTACTTGGTCATATAACCTTTTGCGTCATCATACTTATATTACAAACGTTAAGGACAATCATGATACCTTATCAATTGGTAAAGCGCTATATATATATATATATATATATATATATATATATGCTATTGGAAATACACTGAGAAATGTATGACCAATATGTAAATAAACTACAATGAATCAAACATGCAAAACGACAGATGGTAATGTTCTACAGATCAGGGTCAGATAAAAGACATATGAGAGATTAAAATTAAGAAAATAATGAATTACGGTTCAGTCGCATCACTGTAATAAACAATTAGTAATTAGGGAAAGAATTGCAAAGTTAATAATAACTATTATTATGATTCACAAACTAGGATGAAACAGCTGTCCAGTACTCCCAGGTTTTCAATAGTCCTCTAAATGATATCACTTCGTGGTCAAACTCGTAAAATAATTATTATTGTAAAACCTATAAAATATGTTCAAGGGAACCTGATTACCAAGGAGGAGAAACAAATAAAATAATAGGCTGATCACATCAAAGGACTCTTGAATCGACCATCACCTGTCACTCGTTTAGAAATACCACCAACAGCACGCACAGTAGACAATAATCCTCCGACGAAAGCAGAAATCCTAAGTGCGATCAAGCTACTGAAGTCCGGGAAGACAGGAGGACCAGACGGCATCCCCCCACCCCGAGGCACTGAAAACGTACCCATAAACTGCGGCAGATGTACTCACCCCATTACTGCAAAAAAGTTTGAAACTAAGGTAAGGTGCCTAATAATCGTCAAACTGACAAAGAAGGGCGACTTAGGCCTGTGCAAGAACTGGCGTGAAATAATGCTGCTGTCCACGCCAAGTAAGATACTAAGTCGCATCTTCCTGGAGAGAATAAAGAATGCACTAGATACATAACTCCGCTCGGAACAAGCTGGATTCAAGAAAGCTAAATCATGTGACGATCAAATTGCAGCTCTACGCATCGTTATCGAACTAAGCATACAGTGGCAGTCAAACTTCTCCCTTAATTTCGTCGATTTTGGAAAGGCCTTCGACAGTTTTGACCGAGTAGTATTTCGGTAACTACTTCAACACAATGGAGTGCCCCAAATCTTTATCAACCCCACTCAAGAGCTGGCTATATGACAGTGGCGCGTGTCAGGTGATCCACAACAGAAAAAACAGAGAAGCTTATCCTAGAAGTGAATACAGGAGTAAGACAAGGCTGCCTACTATCACTGATGATATTCTTAATTGTGGTGGACTGAATTATGCATCAAACTGTTGGGGTCAAGGAGTCAGGAATACTCTTGATGACCGATAAGAAGACTCCAGGAGATCTGGATTTCGCAGATGATATATGCCTAGTGTCACACAAACTTGAAGACTTGCAAGCAAAAACCAACAAACTGGCTGAGGAGGCGGCGAAGATAGGACTCCAGGTGAACATAGAGAAGATTGAGGTGATGAAGATAACCAATCAACAACAACCAGCACCAGTCACTATGAGCGGGAGAGATTTAACAGACGTCGCCCCCTTCACTTATGCGGCTAAGATGCATCGTTTTAACTACAAGCGGGACGGACGAAAATGTCAATGTCAGGATCGGGAAGGTAAGATACACCTTCGTTAACCTGAAACCAGTTTATAAATCTTCCGCACTTAGCATACGGAACAAGACTGGTATTTTCAACACAAATGTGAAGTCAGTCACTTCTATACAGGTCAGAAACTTGTACTGCGTGTCACGAAAAGGATTTTCAACAAGCCACCGCAAACTTTTATCAACAGCTGCCTTCGCTTCATACTCAAGATCAAATGGCCAGAAAGAATAAGTAACAAGAAACTGTGGGTACAAATCAACCAAAAGCCGATTGCTCAACAGATATGTAGGAGGAAATGGAGATGGATCGGGCATACACTGAGGAGGCTTTGAATGAAATTGTGCGCAGTGCAAGCCTAAACTCGAGTGGAATCCCAATGGAAAGCGACGAGTGGGTCGTCCGTGCGAGGGTGACATGTAGTAGATCGTGCGGTGAGGAGGATATGAGAGATTATAGACAATCGTGGACCCAGATGAAGAGGACAGCACCAAATAGGACGAAATGGAGATGTATGTTCCACTCGGAATCCGAGGAAGTAGTAAGAATAATAATTGTGAAACAAGTTGAGATAATGATACTGACAAAAGAGTTTTAAATGAGTCAATAATATCAATAAAAGATTGGAACAAAATATTAATACTAATAAGTAAAAGATAATATCATGGTAAATTCATAGTGACCACTGTTTCCTTTTGTACACAGAGATGGGGTTTATAAACTCTGTCTGCTGACAACAACGAATGACTTAACAGCGTCAATATCATGTGCGTGGTCTATGAGATGCAAAGTTATTGAACTTTTTGTTACCTTGACCATTTGGACAAATGCTTCATCATGCAAGTAGACAATCGCCTTTCTGTACGACTTACGTATCTGATTCCGCAAACACATGCTTTTCTCTCTGTTATGGTTGCAATGTTATTTTGTTTCTTCTTATAATATGAGTTTACTGTTTTATCTTTTGTATTTGCCAATATATTCATAGATGTCTAATGCTGAAAAAACGTTGAAAAAACACTTGAATGGTGAGAGAATTAGAGGCTCAAGGTGGTACTGTAATTGAGTTACTACTATTTGTTTATCAATTTCACCGTAAGGCAAGCTGTTCTCGTCTCTTAACTTAATGAGGTTGGAAAACAGCTATTTGTGGTCAAACGAAAACATGGCATCAGTCAATGAAATCCATGACAGTTAGTTTAAGCCACGTAGGGAAGTGTAGACTTCCTGGTTGGGGTCCTCGATTTGGTAAAAGCCAGTGGCTGGAGACAATCAGTGATATGGCTCAAAATCGTTCCCAATGGCTGTCACAGATGCATTCACTCTTTGTGACTTATAATATCCAATAAAATTCTATTGTTCTTCCATATTACTATTCTTTGTGCCTCGTATATCTGTTTATTATCTCTCTTTTGAACCTCTGTTTACTCGCTTCTCTTGTTTTGTGTGCTACATTGAGGGAGTGTGGCATCTCGAACTGCGGCACATCTGTGCAAAGTTCTACGTTGCAACCGGTCAGTCAGTCAAACTTAATGAGAAGTGGACAGATACTGTCATTTCATCGCTTAAGTCGTTCTACCAGTTTCCCTTGTTCTGAATGAAATCAAATAGTGTAGTGCTGCCAGTAGATTAATCTATTTTTTTATGATAAAATAGACACAGCTGTAGTATTTGTTTATGGTTTCTAATTATATGACGTTTAAAAAGATTCATCGTTGGATCATAAGAGGTCAGTAAGTCTGGCGTCATCTAGCGTTTCCTTGGTTAAAAAATATCTTGGTATTGCCGTACACACAGTATATATAACACCAACAACGGGTTACTTTTAGAAAAAGTGAATATTTTACGCCAAGTAATGAAAATATTTTCTTAAAGATATTTGTATGGTGAATTAAAATGTTAAACTTGAATATACCTTGGATAGTTTTCAATAAATATGTAGGTATTGCTATAACTTTTGTGACAACTGACGTTACAAATTAAGCCTATTCAAACAAATTTATTCAGGATAAATTTGTGTAATTAGCAAAGTTGAAGTGAATTATGTTTAGTTCAATAATGAAATTTTGATAAATAAATATTGAAATAACAAAATAAGATTATGCAAAGGAGGTGGAATACGTGATTTTATTCATATACACGATTATATAAGTCATGAGGATTCATTCATTAATTAACTAAAAAAGTCGAAAAAAACTGTAATTCATATAGATATTAAATATCAAAACGTTGGTAGATGTACGATTTTGTGACGGCATATGAACAATGTGAAGAGTCGTAGTTAAAATGTCACGTAAGCTGTTGCTTAGGCGGTAGTTAGTTGTAAAGTAAATCAAGGTTGTTATGGTGGTTGTTACTGTTGTTGAGTACATATAATTTGGTTTGTTTGATGCTCATTTCTACAGCTTTTGCAACTCATGAGATTTACGTGGCACTAATTTCCGAAAGGTTATTTAGGACAAAGTGATTTATTTTATTTTTCATGGTGTGTGCATGGACTAAACGCAATAATTTTAAAACACTTTGTAGTTTTATCACTTAATTGGACTGAAGTGTAGGGAGGGTCTCTAAGCACACGAAACCAAATTCCTGGGGGAATCGATGATGTAAATGATTGCATAAAATCGAAAGTCAATAGTTTGGATAATATACGTTGCGTGTCTATTATCACAACAGTAGTTATACTGTTTCGTTGTCAAAACCTTTCAGTGCGCTCAACTTATAATATGATTTGAATAGCCCTCGAATTACTTAATTTTCGCAACTTTTTATCACTTAAATTACACTTTTGTTTGCTTATTTATATTTAGATGAATGATATGATTTTAACCTTCAAGAGATAGTTTGTAGGGATTTGATTTGTTTTTCAAGTTCGACCACAGATTGATATCACTTAGGAAAATATTGAAAACCATGGAGTACTGGACAGTTGTTTTGTCCTAGATTGGGACTCTTCATCAGTACGTGCCCACCGGGGGCTCTAGCACAGTACCTTCTGGCTACAAGGCGAGCTCGTAGACCATTGAGCCACTGGGACTCAATCCAATGGCCCATAAATTCTAATTTCTACCAATTCATGAGTTTGGCGCGACTACCAGCCAATGTCATCGACGAGCATTTGTTTTGATTTCCGATAGGATAGGTTCGAACCCTTTGGGATGTGTACTGCCGATGACTCCCAAACCCCCTGGTTTTCATCGGTTCTCTAAATGATATCAATCCGTGGTCAAACTTAAAAAACAAATCGAATCCCTAAAAACCAACTTTTGGAAATTAATCTGATGCCTGCTAATGACTGGCTACAGAACTGAGTTTCCTGCAGTTCTAGTGAGTCATGACCAGAGGAGATCATCACGTTGGGAGTGAGAACAAATGCTCTCCGATTACACTGTCTGGTGGTCGTGCTGAACTCACGAATTGGTAGGAGTTAGAATTCATGGGCCATTGAGTTGTGTCCCAGTGGCTGAATAGTCCATGAGGTCGCCTTGTAACTGGGAGGCCTTGGCTTTTGAACTCTGGTGGGTGCGTACTGGTCATGAGTCTCAATCTAGGACGAAACATATTTATCTTGCCACTTACAGGAATGTATTTAGAAGAGGATCCTCCTGTCATTTGTCTTGACCTTACCATTCTTTCTTGAAAGTTTTTTTCTGCTTAGATATTATTACATTTGAATAGTTAATTATATGCTTCCATAGCGTCTACTGCATAAATCGGCATAATTTACTAGTATGTCATTGTATTTACTGTGACTATCTGTTGTTCGAATGCTTTTCTTTTTTTGTTGTATTCTAGTTCCTAAATGATCTAGTCATTGATCGGGGTTTATCTCCATTTCTCTGCGACCTGCTTATTAAAGTAAATGGTAGAGAAGTAACAAATATAGAAGGTGACGGTGAGTAAAGCGTTTGCACATTGCGTTACTATTATTTTTATTATTATCGCCGTCATTACTCTAATTAATATTATTGTTATTAACATTGTGGTTCATAAGTGGATATGATAGTGAAGAGGGTTCAGTTATGTCAGTCAGTCTATCGTCTGCCTCCTTTACATTAAACGATAATTTTGAATATAGTTTTGCTAACGAAACAACATCACTTCAGCATAAAACTAAAGAAATTCTTAATGAACAAAAAGCTCCGTGATTCCAATTTATCATCTCTTAAAATGTACTAGAATACTGATTTGTGTAGAATGATTTCATGTAGACTGTCCTAATTTTTTTCTTGTAAAATTATTTATATGAATTCGTCAATTGTTATTTGATAAGCTTATTAACATTGTTATCACTGTTACACAGGTGTAGTGCATCGTTGGTTAAGTGTGCTAGCAAGTTTATACTCAGTCGCTGATGTCACTTTTGAGTTTTTTCCCTTTCAAAATAATGTTACTAGTCGTACATCGGATTGTCCGCTTCCTTTGTCCTTTTACTACTCCCAGCTTGCTTTCGCTCTACTGTTATTAATAGTAGTTATGTCAAATGAATGGAATAATTTCTTTTAAAATTTTTATCAAATGAAACATAAACATTGTTATATGACTTATAATTTAAGGCTTACCCACTTATTTGAAAAGTCGTTCATATATATATATATATATAATTCGTTTTTATAGGAAATATTACCTATTCGTTTCATAAGGTCTGTACAAAAAATTATAAGTACTTTATATTTTATGCAATCGTTACTACTGTTCTCTTATAAATTATTTTATATTTGAACTAAATTATTACAAACTAGTTTTTGAAGCACATGTTTCTCATTACTTTGGAATGGCAAGTTCTAAAGTCTAAAACGTTTTCATTTTGTGATGTCGAGAGTTGACTTAGTGAATGTGGTTTGATTCGAGGCGTTTTTTTATACATTTATGTTTCATAAATTTTTTGAATATATATATATATATATATATATATATATATATAATATACGCCCTTACAGTGACAGTATGCAAGATACTTATTTACTCGACTACTAACCTGTCTTTATCGATTCGACTAACAACTACAACATTTATCTTTACTAGCTCTTTGTGTGAATTTTTCAAATTCTGCTGTTTGTTTATTGTACATATCCAAAAGAATAAATATAAACATCGGCCTAAAGCTTGAAGGACTACTCATTGAATCCTCTTAAAGTACAACAGGCCATTTTAACTACAGTAATATAATCATCTTCCAAATGATTTTATTAGAAATATATTACCTCTCTGACTTTTAAGTGAATATTTGTTTTATTTGAAATTGTATATGTACATAGATTGTGGGAAGATTTGAATTTACCACCACCGGGTTTGAGTTCTGCTTTCATTTGAGTTTTGTTTATAACTTCAGTCATTATACCTTCGGAAATGAGTATTTTGTTAATCTAATTAAAAGTCGTGTCGCACAACTATTATTTTGTTTTTCTAATTATCGGAGGTTTTATATAAACTGTATTGTTTTCTGTATTACTAAATTTTTTATAACTGAGGTCAATCAATAATCTATTATGCAATATGTATATGAAGGCCTGTTTATCAGGATTTAGGTGTATTATTTTAGGTTGTCTAAATCAGTTTCGAAGAACTAAACTCTTAGTTGGTAGTTTACCTCGAAAATTCAGTCTCACTACATTTTGTGACCTCTTTCGTTCTGTTTCATTTTGCTTTCACTTTTAATTTGTTTAGTGATTCTGTCCTGTTGAGATATGCTGCAATTTTGGATGCTAAAGCATACATATGCTAATTCCCCAGTCAGTTAGCTACTTTTAAATTGTGATCAATGTATGATGAATAGGCGCATTAGAAATCTTCTTGACACTAATATAGGGGATTTTCGCTCCTTCAAATTGTCCTAAAGTTCTACTATTGTATTCTCTTGCCTAACAGATTGATGTAACTTTCTCAGATAATGCGACTTTGTTGGTTGAAGATAGTGTCAACACTGAAGACCACAGAGATGTTATAGTTGTTAAAGACAGTACACTTAACGTATAATTTGTATCTTTCAAACGAAAAATGTCAAAACTTAGCTAGTCACTATTAACTTTAAGAAATCAAATTTTCGCCCTTAGTGATTATATGATACATGAGATGTTACCATGGGTGACTTTAAGGGGATATCAATGGGCTTCTTGTGATAATACACAACTGTACCACAGTACAGTGTATTTTTATTTCAGATCCTTGAGATGCAGTATCTAAAAAACATATATGTAAAGATTGTTGATATGCAATCACTCATGCTTTTGAGATGCTACTAATTCAGTAGATTCCAATCCCATTCCGTTTACTCAATTTATTATAAAAAGGCGGGTAGTAGTATAAACACCCACATGTTAAGTGGAACTCATATCCTTATACAGGAATAGGTTCTGTACCATATATATGGCTCACATTATGATAATTACGGGAAGTTAGAAAAAATTCACGTTTACTTTGTATGAAACGAATATGTTATACTCCACTCATACATGAGCACTATATGCCTATGCTTCCTCTCCTAGCTGGATTAGAATAGAAAGATTCTCATGTGCTTATCCTATGTGATGCTAGTGCATAAATTCTTCACATATTATTATTCGTTTATCACGCCGTTAATTTGTTAACTAATTTCTACAGTGAAGTCTACTGGCTTCGGTTAAACTTGTCTCGATTACTGTCCTTCAATTACAAGCTATATTTAGCTCCCTATTTACTATCTGGATCTTTATCTTCAATCGTTTCTTTCACTTTTTTCTTCTAGTTTTCTACCTTTACTTTTTTATGATTACTTTCGTTTTGCTTTCTGTCCTCTGTTATCATACTCTTGTGGAGTAAAGTGTTACTTGGACAAATAAACTGCTAAACCGAGTCTTATTTTGTTTTTGTATACTTTTCTATACATTTATTATAATTAACATTTGTAGTTTATACATGCTACTGTTTGTCTTATTATCGTAGAGTGTTTTCCAATCTGTATTCTAAGTGATAAAATGACATCTCATCAATTCACTTTACTGAATAAATTCGTAGTTTCTTTCAACATGAGTGGTTGTGATAATATTGTGATAATATTCACCTGATTAAAAATAATACGTTTATGCTTTAAATAGTTATGAAGTTCAACAAATAAGATTACTGTATGATAATCAGGTGTTATTAGTCATTACTTATGACACTACACTGATTAGTAATGAAATACAGAGTTCAGAAATATTACACTAGACAATAAGTTCATTTTGTCTTTGGTGTTACTGTTCGTATGAAAGACACTAATTAAAGCTTAAGTTGTAGACGTGTAATCAGACTTGTTAGCCATACTAAAATAGCCCAAAAGTTTGCAGTTTTAGTTGTTGCTTAGTTTGAAAAGAAATCATAAGTGGCCATTTAATCATTGGCAAAAGGTAAGTCAGATTAAAATTGTAGTCAAATGAGTAATAGAAGACTTGCTGTCTTTATTCAAAATGATGTTGTTGAAGAAGGTATTTTTGAAAACTGTTTTAATCTTCGTTATGTTTTAATTTTTAGATAGGAAGATACAAGTGGTAAACTGGAGGATAAGGATTATGTTGTTCATATTTTAATCCAACATTAGAAATATCCTGCTTTTTGTTGACATTCCACTCGATATACACACTGATCTCAATTCCTAACTCTTTGTCAACCAGTTTATTTATTTGTTGTTGTTGTTCCCTTGGGTTCCTAGTGGAACATAGGGCTTCAACTGCACGTCTCCACTTGCTTCTGTCTTCCTTCTGCTGTACTTTTCACCTGCATCCATGTTAGTCCATACTGTTTCAACTCCTCTTCACACGATCTCCTCCATGTCACCCTTGCACTGACGTCCCACTCGCCGCTTCCCTTTCGGGTTCCACTCGAGCTATGGCCTGATGCGCGATGTCACCCAGTGGCCTCCTCAGGGAGTGCCCAATACATCTGCACTTTCTCCTGCATATTTGTTGGGCGATTGGTTCATGTTTTGTTTGTTCCCATAGTTTCTTGTTGGTGATTCTTTCTTTCAGTTTAGAGCGAAGACAGTTGTTGATAAAGGTCTGCAACAGGCTGTTGGAAATATTCTTTGTGACTCGCCCGCCAAGTTTCTGATCCGTATAGAAGAACTGACTTGACGTTTGTATTGAAGATCCGAATTTTGTTGTTGATGCTGAATGACAATGATTTCCAGATTGTTTCAGGTTGATGAATGTGTTTCTCGCCTTCCCGATTCTTGATTTGACATCGTCGTCCGTTCCTGATGTAGTTGAGACAATGCCCCCTAGATAAGTGAATGAAGTAACCTCTTTCAAATCCCTCCCGTTGATGATGATTGGCGCTGGATATTGCTGTTGTTGTTGTTTTTGCTGGTTATTTTCATAACCTCCGTCTTGTCTATGTTCACCTGAAGTCCTGTCTTCGCCGGCTGCTTCTTCGACCGGTTTGTCGGTTTTCGCTTGTAAGTCTTCGATTTTGTGTGATATCAAACATAAATCATCCGCGAAATCCAGGTCTTCTAGGTTCTTCAGGTCGGTCCAGGATATCCCTGTCTTCTCGTTTCCCACTGTCTGACGCATAATCCAGTCCACCACAATTAGGAATATCATTGGTGATAATAAAAGAGAACCATTGTCTGACTCCTGTGTTTACTCCAAACGCCTCGAAGAGTTTTCCGTTGTGGATCACTTGACATGTGCCGTTGTCATACAGCTGTTGAATAAGGTTGATGAATATTTGGGGTACGCCATAGTACTCGAGTAATTTCCAAATTACTTCACGATCAACGCTGTCGAAGGCCTTCTCAAAGTCTATAAAGTTGAGGTAGAGGTTTGATTGCCATTCCATTCTTTGCTCTGTGATGATGATGCGTAGAGTTGCAAAAATTTGGTCAGAACATGATTTGCCTTTCCTGAATCCAGCTTGTTCTGGTCGGAGTTCTGTATCCACTGCGTCCTTTATTCTTTCCAGGATGATGCGACTCAGGATTTTACTTGGCGTCCACAGGACCATGATTCCTCTCCAGTTCTTGCAGAGTAAAATCTAAGTCGCCCATTTTTGGTAGTTTCACGAGGTAACTTTTTTCCAGTCAGTAGGCACCTTTCCCTTCTTCCAGACCTTTTGCAATAATGGAGTCAGCATATCTGCTGTAGTCTCTGGGTCCGCTTTCAGTGCTTCAGGGGGTATTCCATCTGGTCCCTTTGCCTTTTCAGCTTTCAGAAGCTTGATTGCATTCAAGACTTCAGCTTTCGTTGGAGGATTGGTGTCAACTTGCAGTTGTGTACGTGCTGTTGTTGGTATTTCTGGACGGGTTGCAGGTGATGGTCGGTTCAAGAGTCCTTTGAAGTGATCCGCCCATTGTTTAATCTGCGTTTCTTCCTTGGTAATTGGGTTCCCTTGGCTGTCTTTTATAGGTTTCACTTGTGTTGATCTCTTCCCGGATAGAGATTTGGTTATCTGATATAATGTCCTCAGGTCCCTTTTGCCTGCTGCCTCCTCAGCTTCAGTGGCCAGATTGTCGTAGAATTTTCTTTTGTCCTTCCTAGCACTCTTCTTCACTTCTTTGTCCAGTGCTGTGTAAGTTGAACTCAGCGCCTCTTTCTCTTGTCCGTCTTTGCATTGAATCATTTTCTCTTTCACCATTCTTCTCTCCTCTATTAGTTTCCAAGTGTCCGTTGAGAGCCATTCTTGTCTTGTCTCTTCCTTCTTCCTAGAACCGTTGAACACGTTTCGTTGAAAATCACCTTCAGAGAGTTCCAATGTTCTTCCACGCATGATTCTTCAGTGATGTCTCGTAGTGTTTCCTGCTTTGCTCTGACAGTTGCAGTGGAAGTGTTCTTTGTGGTTGTGTCCTTCAGTTTATGAGTGTTGAACTTGCCTTGTGGCCTATCCCCAGCTATCCTCGAGGCTTTTAGCTTCACCTTGAAAGTCCCTTGTACTAGATAGTGGTCTGAACCCACATCTGCTCCTCTTCTCGACCTTGTGTCCAGTAGGCTCCGTCTCCACTTTCTTGAGATTGAAATGAAGTCTATCTGGTTTTCGGTGTGTCCATCTGGTGAAATCCATGTCGCCTTGTGTATATCCTTGTGTTTGAACACACTGCCACCAATCACCAAATCATTGAAGGCGCAGAAGTCTGAGAAGAGTTCACCATTGTCGTTCATTTCACCGAGGGCCTCACGACCCATGGTGAGTTTTCTTCCTGTGTTGTCTCCTCCCAGCTTCGCATTCATATCACCCATCAGGATTTTGATATCGCCATTTGGGACGTTGTCCATTATTGCTTGTAGTTGTCTGTAGAACGCCTCCTTCTTCTCTTGTTCTGAGACGTTTGTAGGCGCATAGCATTGAATGACTGTAACTTTCCTTCCTTTTGAGTTGAACCTGGCTGTCATTATCCTGGAGGAGATTGGTTCCCACTGCATGAGAGCTTTGGCTGCTGTTGGTGACATCATGACCTCTACTCCCTCGGTGTGCTCGTGATTGTCCTCTGGGTGACCGGAATAGATTATTGTCTCTCCAGTTGGTAGTTGGCACCTTCCACATCCGTTCCATCTGCTCTCGCAGATTCCCAACACTTCTATTTTATATCTTCTCATTTCAGCGGCTATCTGGGCAGCCTTTCCAGTTTCGTACATTGTACGAACATTCCAGGTTCCCATCCTTACTTTTGCTTTCATCGAGAGAAGGCACATCGGCTGACTGGCTTCCCGAAGGCTTTCACCAGCCTGCGTCATTTCACTTCCCCGATTGCAGAGAAAAATAAGGTTATTGTTTATATTTTTAGTATTTTTTTATTTTTAATACATTTATGCGTTGAAGTTTCTGTAGCGATTTGGTTAAGTTTTGAGGGTGGAGTTGCTAGCACCACGCCCCAACCCTCCCTCTTTATCCGGGCTTGGGACCGGCTAGAAAACTAGCGAACTAGTAATCTAGGCGAGGTTACTTTATTTCTTTAAAACTTTTTATTATTCTAACAAGTGCATTAAAATAACAGTACAGTCATCCTTACTCCCCGATTTTGTTATCCCTGTGGAGGGTGAATTTTAATAACTTGTAATTAGTGTCGTCTATTTATTCATCAATAATGTATTTCATTTATACATAAATACTGCTTTATTTTACTTTCTAGGTCTTATTGTAAGCACTCCTACTGGAAGCACAGCTTATTCCATGACTGCTGGTGCTAGTATGGTACATCCATGTGTACCTGCTCTAGTTTTAACACCAATCAATTCATTAGCTCTAAGTTCACGTGCTATTGTTCTTCCTACCTCTATAAAGCTAGAAATCTCTATTGCTAGCAAGGCTCGTTGTTCAGCTGTACACTTTTCCTTTGATGGACGCTCACGGCACTCAAATCTATTGCATAAAGGTGATGTCATCACAGTTAGTGCTTCGCCTTACCCTATTCCATGTCTTTGCAGCGAAAACCAGGTAAACACTTTCGTTATGATTGTTTCATTGTAATATTAAAATATTCCTTATATATTAATTCTGGATAAAACAAGTTTAATTTGTGTTAAAATTAAACAGAAATATATTAATACTTCTGTCTGCGTAATTGATATCGTTTCAGGAAATTTAACTAATTTCAGTTTCAACTACCTACGCTATGTATGTATACACTGGAGGCCTGCTTGAATCACTGGACTACTTGGATTGCCGTTCAACTCAATGCCTCACATTTCCTCTTATTCTTATTATTATAACCATTCAGCTATGCTTTGATTAGCTTTCAAATTAGTGATGAGCATCCAATATGAAGAGCAAATGTCATGAGGGATTAGTGTATACTAAAATCGAACATCACTGTGTTATGATATATCATAGAATGCTATTTTACTAGGAGATCTTTGATGAAGAGGAAGTATTATGCGAAATATTACGCTGAGAATCCTGTACATTGCGTAAACATTTTCTCCAAAACAAAGCTATTGATTGTTGTTATTATTATCACAACGCTTTATTAAAAGTGCATGTAACCGACTCTTAAATGCACGTTTTACATAAACGCCAATTATATTACCTGTTGAAATAAATAGATATATATTCAAGTATTGGTTTTGTAGGGATTTTGTTAGATTGGTTGGAGGATTTCATCGTGAGATGATATCAGTTAGAGAACCCTTGGAAAACCTGGGAGTACTGGACAGCTGTTTCATCCTAGCTTGGGACTCTTCATCAGTGCGCACCCACCGGGTTTCGAACCCAGGGCCACTGGCTACAAGGCGAGCTCATATACCATTGAGCCACTGGGACCCGATCCAATGGCTCATGCATTCTAACTTCTGCCGATTCATGACACAGCGCGACCACTTCCTAATGTCTTCTTCGATGAGTTTAAATAAATAGATATATCTAAATTTATTTGAGAGCTGTCACTTTATTTCTGGGTAATTTATTTGTTAAACTGAATTGGCAATAATCTTAAGATGGTTTGTTGGTTTTGGAGATTTCGAGCTCTCAAAGTATCCGTCTTCTAGTTACCCTGTGTCTATTGATAGTGAACAAACTATAAACACGGCACTTGAATATCTTTAAACATACATAATTTCATACCTTATCAAATTATGTCTATTAACCAACCTTTGTTTAGGAACATCTAGCATAAGTAAATACGTACAGTTTACGTCTTCTAATGAAATTCAAGAACAATACATATATTTTAGTTTGTTCTATTTTCTTTAGTTGAGTTGATTGTATCCAGAAATGAAATGTTTAATATAAACAGGAATATATTTCAACGTTGTCAGTGTTTTGCGTGTGTGGAGAGATTACATAAGTGAGATAGTTACAGCCTTTGACAAATGTTCTCAAGCAAATATAATTTTTACTCTTATCTCCAGTTAATGATCTAAAACAGTGGTCAACTCCATTGATGTGTTTTGTTTTCCCTGCTAGTACCCAATGTGGTGTTCTTTATCTCTTTACATAATATTGACCAAAAGAGCAGTCGTTACAGTTTAGCTTTTCACAACATATGCCAGCTATTATCATCTTACTGTGATTCCATACTCATTGCATGAGATTGTTAGCTACATGAGTATGTTTGCTATTTTCTCAATACTTTTCATGTATAAAAATGTGTGGATATTTTCTCCTTTTGTTCTTTAGGTTACAGATTGGTTTTGCGGTCTAGCTTACTGCCTTAACTGGAATCTACGTCGACGTCAAAATGCAGTAATGAAATGTTGTTCAGTTAGTGAAGAATCATCTTGAGCGTAAAAAAGAAATACTTTTCTTTGACTTTTTTACATTTTGTTTTAACTTTCATTCAAATGATTCTCAGGTTTAAATAATTGTGATCTAAAAACTGAATTTTGTTTTCTGCTTATCAAGATTGTTTTTCATATTATTTTCATCTCTGTTGTTATTTATATACCTGAAAATTCAATCATGCCTTCAACGTTTACTTGTTGCAGTTTCCAATAACGAAATAATTGAGTTATCTCTTCTATTTTACACCATTATATGATTACTGAACCGTCTGAGGCAAATATGGTTTGGAAAAAAATAACTGTCAGATAAGTGCGCTGTATACCTTAACACCTTTTTGTAAAACATTAAGTTGTCGTAAAAATTTATAGATTAACGGCTCTACATGAAAATTATCTCGCTAGGTTGTGAAGCAGTGAGTAAATGGACATTTCAACTAGCTGTGTTAGACAAAGCTGTTTTATTTATGTCTTCCTTATAATCGATATAATAACTAAACGAATAAGCTTATCGGTTTTAGTACTAACGTTCTGTAATAAAAATAAGTTATTGCATTATTAAAAATGACTTGGTATGACAGCCATCACACCCATATACAATATCTTATCAAAGGAATTCTCTGAAGTGGTATGAAATGATTACTTCAGAGCACATCTCAAACTAAACGTCAAAAATAAATTCTTAGTAAAGGTCCACCTGTGACACTGAAACTTCGTCCATAGAATCCGGAAATATTTCAGTTGACGTAATAACGGCTAGATAAGTTTCTGTTGCTTGGTATTATACACGCATGGTCATCGTCTTTGGGCATGTTTCCTAAAAAAAAGCATGCACGACTGGCTAATCTCTTTAACAACTGCAAATTTTTACCAAAGATTGATCTTGTCCGAACATAACCAAATAATGCCCCAAAAACTATACTCAACGGTTTGTTCATGTAGATAAAGTTGAACTAGTTGTGATATAGACATCGGAAACTGCGTATCTGCATACAGTTTTTCAACGATGTGTGAATACGGCGACATCCAACAGAAATGCGACTTCAAGAAAGAGTATAAGTGGTATAAAACTCGTCTTAACAGCGACAGAGGCAGTCAGAAAACATTCGATTCTAGATTCTTTTGAAAGACACCCTGGATACATTGGTGTAAACAATTGTGCCAACGATATGCCTGGTAAACTCAACCACTGCTACAGCAATGGAAACAACCAATAGTTTAGAAGAAGCTATAACTTGGAGAGATTGTTAGGTTAGTTGTTACAAAAAGACCCCTTTAAGATCGTGACAGATATATAGCGATGCAGGTACTCGGCAATATAGTTGCTAATAGCAGCTGCTATAGTTCTCCAGAAGAATAGATTTTGTCTAGAGAAACACAGTGCTTCTGGGGAGGAATGCACGTGGCCTACTTTGCAGCTAAATATCTTTGAGGAGCGGCCATTCACAATCTATGCAGATCACTAACTTAAGGTATACAAGTGGAACATCGTAATAAGTCAACCACACAGCTTTGAAATAAAGAATTCATCTCACCAGCGGTCAGCAAATTTGTGTGGATAAAAACATTATGTGAACATGATAATTTTATCTCAATAAATGTTGATTTCTCCAACTAACTGCAAAAGTATTAGATGAATTACTACACTTGACAATGACGTCATAACAAAACGAAGAAGGCTCCTGCGACAGCTGTTCATTTTCCTTCTATGTCACATATATTATTGCTAAGTTTATTTCGAACGGAAAATCGTTTTCGAGATTCTGTTTGAGAATTTAAACTCAAATTCCAAAGGAAGTGGGAAACCTATTGCCACTGGTTCGTTTGGTCTGACACATGTCACTGAGCCAGACAGCGGCGTAAAAGCTGCTTGCATCGTCACAGGCAGAAATTTCATCCACATGCGATAATTCTGACAAGTAAACCACTAATAATTTAATATCAGTGTGAGCAGGAACATCTTTATTAATTAGATCACCGCCCCTTTTTCACGGACACATCAGTATGTTGACTTTTGTTAACAGGCCATGTGTGCAGCAGTCAAACCATGCATATGTAGTTTGTCGAATTGGTTTAGCAAACTGACGAATGTTAATTTAATCCAGTGAATAACGTCCACATAAACACTACTAGTTGTGGGTAACAGCTGAAGCAGCAAATGAATCATATAAGGTAGAAAGCCCCCAGAAATGGGAAATATATGCTTATACCTGAGTAGCTTTCTAGATGTTCATAACCATTCGTAAGATGTTATGGTGTTCATAACCAGATGCAACTAGCTTAAAATTGCACCCTTTTATAAAGAATTATAGGGCTCCTATAGCAAAATGTTTAGTGAAAACATGGTGATTTAAGTACTGATACGGGAAAACTGAAGGTTTCTAGAAACAACTTTTAATTCCTCGAAAGTCTGTCTACCACTGAATGAAGGAAAATGCAATACTCTAGTAGAGTTCAGCGACAGTATTTCACTGATATAGTCAGAGTAAAGAGTACGAGAAAGGGGCGAAAAATGAAGTGGAATAAGTTAATGTGGAGATGAAAACAACTCCCGGCAGCGAGTGATATATAAAAATGACGTAGTTTCTGAATGCAACTTCTATAAGGAAGCACCCTTCATTTGCGATGATGATGTCACAGTCTTTCTGTTCATTCTTTTTGATAGTCAAATCATTCTACAATAGCTGAGCTACGAAAATTAAACCTACCTGCATGCAAACTGATGGTGGTAAGATTCCCTTTTAACTGATCAGTTGAACTCGCAAACAGGAGTGAATTGGTTGTCTGATCAAAATCTTCAGTAGGGGTTAGCGAACTTCACACTCTTATGCATTGCGTGGTCTCAAAATGTGTTGTAAGAATAAAGACAGTATGAGTTATAATATTCCAGCGTTCCTCGGTGGCTGCTAAGGAGAGTAACTCTACAAAGTCATACCCGAATGGTTGAAGAGCGATGGGAAGTATTTTCTTGTAACAACCGAATATCCAGAAAAAGGGAGTGACATAGCTCAGTAAGCTTTCTTCTTGTAACTTCTATAATCATTATTATTAACTAGAAGTGAAGTAAAGGGGTAGCTCTAGATGGGATCCTTTCGGATTTACCTGCTAGTGTGGCGGTTTAATCTCATATGACTGTTAATTAGACGAGATTCTTTATCAATGAAGTTTATCTGCAGCCGAATGTGAGATGCAAGACGGGTGACTAGTTATTCACATAATTCATTTGGTTACTAGAACAGAACATGACTGTATCATTATCACTAACGATAGCATCATTCAACACTGGTGAGGGACGCAGATAAAATTTTCTCTGTAGAGATTTACTGAGAGCTATCATGACTGCTGAGCCCTACGACACACACTAGGGGAAAGAGGAGTTGACGCCAAACCATTCAGGTTAGATTTCCTTCTTACCTATAATCACGGGCTTACAGAGAATTAACATATCAGCCACTAGTCGGTGGCAAACATCATTGTGGAGCAGTACTCAGATTGTATGTTAAAAAATAACTAACCAAGTGCAACCACAGCAGAGCCAGGATCCCACAGATGACAGAAGCTATAGTGTGGGTTCACAGAGAGTCTCCTTAAGGTCAAAAGAATTGCCTGGTTCAGATAGAAAGTCTTGAGGAAGCAGTAAGTCTACATCATGTTTCTAGCATCAAGAAATCAGGGCGACATGAAGATTTATGTAGGATATACCATAGCAACATAGACAGAACACCAGAATACGACCCTAAGAATCTGTACCGATTTACTCAACGAATCATGTGACGAGATTAGAAAAACCAAAGTGGATGGCCGTCCAGCCATCTGGAGATATCCCTAGTATTTCGTGACAGACTCTAATAGAAGTGTAAACCCTACAATGGAAATTCAAGCTGCAACCTTACATAGTGGTGATTGCTCCCCTATAAATCAGTCAAAAATGGCTCCATGTAAGATGAAAACAATAGTCAGTAAAGTCTTTTGGATAGGACAGCATAATACTATCAGTCCCCAAACATTTCTCTGGGCTCTGTGTATTTGACCTAGTGAGCTAATTTATCATTCACTGTACAGAAAATAGCCACCAAAGGAGCGGACAGACTCTGTCCTATCTAAAGATGAGAAGTGATGAAATTCTATAGGCTACAAATGCGTAGTGTTGTTGACATCGATACCACAGATGTGAAAAGACGACTGGATGATTACTTAGCAGGAAATTTGAATTCGGACAGCATTCTGCATTAAGCTGGTGCAGTTTCACAAAGAATCCAACTTATGCTGCTAACTTGCTGATAGCTTCAGATAACGGAAAAGTATTTTGGCAACAAAGTATTTCAGTTCATGTTTTATTCCGAGACAAAGCTTTTAGCGTTGTGCCAAGCAACATCCTCCCCTAATAACCGTCCAGAACAGTAATCATTGGTCAATTTCTCTCCTGGATTTCAGCTTAGATGTGGGATGGGAAGTTCTTTACGAGTTTAAATCGCGTATAACCTACATCTTAAATATCACCCACTAGGAAACCTCCTGATGTTATTCTTAGTCTAATGATCTTTCTTTCACTTTCTCATAGATGATCTCCAGAATGCCTCAATATCTGTTAATATACTTCATAAAGATGGGGTGAATTTATGGATAGTAGTGAGAAACGGATGAGGATAAACGTTATCGTGTTTTACATTTGCTTCGCTTCTGGTTTTCTCGTTTTCCATTGGCTAGAACGGTGGCGGCCAATTGAATTTTTGATTTGCCATAGGTGAGTACTTTTGTGTACAGTTTAGTGAGGTTTGCAAACAACTGTGATGAATATAAATGTAACATTTGACTATTCTTACATAGTTTTACCATTTTGCTTACGCAGACAGAAGGCTCTTTTCGTTGTACACTCCCATGAACCTGCTTAGCCGTTGTGGTGGTCGTCAATGACTACGATCCAGTAAGACCCAATGCATTCCTCGAGTTGTAGTTATATGAACAGTGTTTTCTCTGCCGATGTGTCTCAGTGACGTAATGTTATACTTCTGTTTCTTGCCAGTTAACTGTGAAAACAATGGGTACCTTCTAGCACGTACTGATTACCGAAACCTTTTTTTTAGCAGTTCACCACAGTCAAACAGTATGACTGGAAGAAGAACAGATGTGATTGAACGTTTTAGTCATATGATGGTAGAAGACTGTTTCGACTGCTAGAAGAAAGTTGTAAATACATTGGCGGAGTATTGAAAAATTACAGTATTATAAATTGATTAGAATGTATATCTATTTCACACACTGTGTTCATATCTATGTCTGTCTGCTCATATCTATAGGAAAAGTCGGAGGTTGAGAGATATTGTATTGTAGTAAGGCAATTTTATGAACCTTTTATCTAGCGTGTATCTCTTTCCTTCATATTTTGATTGCTTAGCCTACTAGCAAGGTGTTGAGAAATGTATGATTTGATGACACAAGTACTAACAGTTGTTGACTTTGTAAGCGTGTAATTTTCCCGGCATTTTTGTCACTAATAATGTGCTCCTTACGTCAAAACAAGTGTCAACTTTG